CAGAAAATGCCTGGAAAGGTTTAAAACGTATTTTCCGGTATCTAAAGCAAACACTTGATTATTGTTTAAGATTACCATCTTCAGGGTCCACAAAATTGCATTGTTACGTTGACAGCGATTGGGCCAACCTGCCTGATAAAAAATCAATTTCTGGAATGGTATTTCAATTTGGGGATTCTTTAATAGGTTGGAAATCCAAAAAACAAAGTATCGTGGCCACATCATCAACTGAGGCCGAATACTGTGCATTGTCGTAGTTATGTAATGAAATAAAATTTTATGTTCAGATCCTCAAGGATATAAACGTACAGTGTAATTATCCTATTCAAATTATGGAAGATAATCAAGCCGTAATAACTTTGTCTGGATCTGACCAGTTTAGAAACAAATCAAAGCATTTGGAAATTAAATATCAAAATGTAGCTGAAAATGTAAAACAGAACCAGATAATGCTGAAGTATTGTGAAAGTACACAAAATGTGGCGGATGTATTTACAAAAGCATTAACCTTTGAAAAACATACACGACTGGTAGCAAAGTTGGGAGTTGCTGTGTGTGATATGTAAATATGTTCTGTTCTGTTTAAAATACTATTGTTTCTGTTTGAATGAGAGGGGGTGTTAGAGGACATTCGGCACAGAAACATGTGTGTATACCTTTAAGAAGTTTCTGGGATTAATTGGCTGCAGGTGACCGTTGCTATAAAGGAAAAAGGCTGAGTTTTGTTGCTTGCCTGCAGGAATAACATCCACCAGAGTTTGTGTTTATTTGCTTAGTAATAAAGTCTTAGTTTTAGTTTGGGTTTTTACACCTATGTCTCCTGGAGTCACTCTGTCCTCTGCCACCGGCAAAATGCTCAAAGTAGCTGTTAAATGGGGCCAGGGTGTGGGTGTGGCCTAGAGCCCAACTAGAGAGATTTGGAGAGGCATATTTGGCCCTGGGCCTCAGGTTCCCACCCCTGGACCTTCTGCCTTTAGGCATAAAGATAAAGGTAAAGAGACCCCTGACCATTAGGTCCAATTGTGACCAACTCTGGGGTTGCAGCGCTCATCTCACTTTATTGGCCAAGGAAGCCGGCGTACAGCTTCTGGGTCGTGGCCAGCATGACTAAGCCACTTCTGGCGAACCAAAGCAGTGCACAGAAACGCCGTTTACCTTCCCACCAGAGCGATACCTATTTATCTACTTGCACTTTGACGTGCTTTCAAACTGCTAGGTTGGCAGGAGCAGGGACCGAGCAACGGAGCAACGGGAGCTCACCCCATCGTGGGGATTCAAACCGCCAACCTTCTGATTGTTAAGTCCTAGGCTCTGTGGTTTAACCCACAGCACCACCCGCGTCCCTTGCCTTTAGGCATACCTTGGACCAAATTTTACTACTTGGTGTTGCTGAGCTGTAAATCTGGCTGTGGAGAACGTGTCACATTTAGCCTTTGTGGCTGACATGTGTCTTGCGCTGGCTCATTAAAAAGCAAAAACCTCTTGCGATTATCAGGAGAAATCTAGAGGTATAAATAGATACTTTAAAGTATGCAAGCAGAAAACCAAATCAAAATGTTTTGGCGTTCGCCAAAAGCACAGATACAGGAAGAGTTCTGTAACATTGTGATAACGGGGAATTTGCTGCTTCTCCTTTGCCCTGCTTGCCAAAATTTGCCCTGTTGAGCCATTGTCTCTCAGCCTTGACCTGCCATCTGTACAATGGCTATATTTATTGGTCTCTTTGTATGACCATTTTAAATATGAATAATTGTAAAGCTCTGTATATGTATTGAAAGCAGAACAAAAGCGGTGAATAGTGGTAGCTTTCCGTGGCTCCTAGGCCTTGATTCAAAGGGAGCCATCATGTTTCCCAACTCAGAGAGGTCCTATGCCCTCAGCTGCTGCGTGACCTGCAAGAGTTCGGTGAGGTTTTCCTGACAAGTGAAAAGGGGAGCTGCACCCATTGAACTTCTTCTGTATTAATGATGCACAAGTCTTCCTATTAAAAAGGAGACCAATGCCCATTGCTGTTCTTATCCTGATAGTGTCCCTCTTTGCCCCAAATGGGGACATAATTTCCACTAAATTACTAGCCCTTAAAAATGGTTATCGGTTTTAAAACACTAGGGTGCTTTATATAAACCATTTTTTTTCAAACACCCTTAACTGTGAACAAAATGAAAAACAAGGGCTAATTATTTTGTCAGGCTTGTTAACAGCAGTTATCACGCAAGGCTGATTTTCATTTGATTTTGAAGTATTTGTGTTTCTATAACCTCCTCAACCCAGCATTTCACCTCAATAATTCCGGATATTGTGAAAAGCTCCGTCCACTTCAGGGTCTGGCATTTAAGATTTTGTTGACTGATCCAGCTAATTGCGAGCACTTAATTGCTGTTTCCAGCCCTAGGATGAGGGACAAGCGTACTTTTTTTTTTAATGAATGAAATAAAATCACATCACTTCTTAAAGGCGGAACACTTGCTGTTGATTTAAGCTGCCTCTGGGGGAGAGAATCTAGCCAGGATTTAAGACTGCCGATCTGCATATAAATAAATCAGGGCAAACATGACCTGGGGTGGGGAGAGAAACTCTCTGGAGGACTGGGAGCTGGCGAGGGGTTGTGCGGATCTTTTGGAAGCGGCCTTGCCTTTTCCCAAACCAATTGCATCCCCCTTCCTTTTGTTGGCTAGATGCAGTCCGGAGACAAGGCTAAGAACTCACAACCTACTGACCGCTTCAGGCTGCAACCCTAATACCTACTTTCCTGAGAGTAAGGCCTATCCATCTAACCTACTTCTGAAGAGGCAGGCCTACTATCATACGGTTAAAAGCCCCAGCTTGCTGCCTATTTCCAAAGTCTCCTCTCTCTCTCTGCGCACCCCCGCGCACCTACTTCCATCCGAGACCTCAGGGGTGGAGAGTGTTTGAAGTCACGCCCACAGCATACATTTAAACCATACATATTACTCCCCCAAGGAATCCTGGAAACTGTAGTTTGTTAAGGATGCTGGACTTTGTAGCTCTGAGAGGGGTGAACTACAGTTCCCAGGGTTCTTTGCAAGGAGCCAGGGCTTTTTAAAGTGATATAAATGCGCCTCGAATGGACGGTGTGAATGTGATCTGAGAGCATATGAGTCAGCTACTAGGTGCCGAGGTCCCTTTACCCACCCCCCATAAAATTGAGGGGGTAGAACCCCCCCCAAGTCGATGGGCATTGCCATTCAAATAGTCTACGTGTCTTGTGATCAGTTGTGTGGGGCAGGGCTTACCTGTCCGCCCACCCCAATATTTTATTCTAGTTGGCACCCCTGTCTGAAACTCCCAAGGAGATCCCAGCAGCACCACTGGTCCCTGGCTACGAAGAGGAAAGCAGACGGGTTCCAACAAAAGCGTGTTGAGAAAACAGGGGAGGTGTGCGTTGAATGCCGCCTGACGCTTGGTTTTTCAGGTACCCGCCGAGCAGATGAACGAGACTTCCCCGCCCCGCTCCCAGCGCAGGAGATACTTGTTAGCCATCCCAGCAGACGAATGGCGTTCATGCAGCGTTTTGCCTTCGAAGAAGCAGAGAGTCCAGAAAGCGGCCGGAGGCAGCGCCAAGTGGGGCAGAGTTGAAGTCCCTGCTTTCTTCCTGATTGATTTGCCTGCTGGTGTATTCCGGGGGAAAGGCTGACTTAAGACCAGGATGGCGCTCGCGTGTCATGCAGTGGGGAGGCAGGGGGCTGGCTGTTAGGAGCAAAGGTGGGGGACTTGGCCGGCCGAAACCTCACCCGCTGAAACGCCGCCGCCATCGACGGCTTCTTTGGAAAGTAAGGGCAGACGCGTGGGCCTGTACCATAGCGCAAAAGGGAGCGAGCGCCACCTTGGAGAAGGTGGGAGGCTTGGGAAAGGGGTAGATTTGTCTATAGCTAGAATAGCGCTATAAGGCCACTCTTCTGGGTTGTTGTTAGCACGCAAGGGGGTGGCCTTTTGCAGGCGAGGGGAGTCCCTTGACACCCCTATCCGACCTCGCGCAGGTAGCTGGGCTGCTGCATAGATAAGATGGGTTTCTATGAGGATGGAGAGACTGGCCTCGCAGGGTGGCGTTTCCCCGGTTGTGCACAAGACGAGGCTCCCGGAACTTCAAAATTGCGAATTTGACAGCGGCCAATAGGCAAGGCTGGCTTTTGTGGTCTGGAACTGATACCTAATGGGGGAGAGAGAGGGTAGGATGGTGGTGAAAGGGACTGAATTCAATTTCTGGTGGCTCTGAAGACATTCGTGTTGCGAATTCGAGATGAAGCGAGCGGTGTCGCTCAGAAGCTTGCAGAATCTCCCGTTCGGAGCTGATGCAACTTTAAAAGGGGGGGCCCGGGGGGGGAATGATATAAAGAAAGATTGCCTTACCGTATTATGTATCCTGAGAAGGGATTCGGGTTTAGAACAGGCAAACAAGATATTGCACAGGTTTTTTTTTCCTTTACACTCAAGCGGTATATAAGTGTTATGAACGAAATAAATAAATAAAAATCTCGCTCCAAATTGTAATTCTAATCATCTGAATTCCTCTTGTGGTGATTTGTTTTTCTAAGGAAGTGCGGGGTGTGCCATCCTCCGATTCATGTTAACTGCAGCCACAATAATAGACTCACATTTTAAAAGAGTAAATTAAAAAGGTAAATCTATAAATCAGTTGCTATTGACCATTGGAAATAAATTATTGATCTGTACGCTGCCATTATTTATTAAAATTATAACTGATAGTGCCTCCCCTTTTTCATTGCATGTTGTTTGAGAGTATCTATTTGCCAATAGAATGTGGTTTTGTGTGAGTGTGTAATGGCAAGTGACGTATACTGCATAGATTATTGCTTGTGTGAGAAAGGCGCATCATGCATCCAGATCCTAGGCATTTTTACTCGGAAGTAAGCAATTGCCAAAAGTACCGGTTCATAAATACCCGGTTTGGCAGTCCTTCATAAATTCCTCCCCAACACCCACACACAATCTATCGATCTATGTATATATCATATTGCACATTCAGGTTTGCATTTATTTATTTATTGAATTTAGAGGCTGCTTTTCCACTAAAAGGCCCTCAAAAAGGGGTTAAAACAGAATAGTTTTAAACACCAACAGCATCCTAAACCAATATTTAAATTCAGCTTATACAGTTTGAAAATCTAAAATAGCAACAAAAATGTAATCCTCCATTTCCTGGGTGCAGCTTTGTTTATTTGAATAGTTTAAAAATTAAATAAAAGTTGCGCAGCCCACTTCTGTGCCTGTTTTATTCAGAAGTCCGACGGAGTTCAATGTGCAGCCTGGCTATTTCTCTTGTTCGTTGTTGTTCTTTTTAAAGCAAATGAAACTGACAAAAGGCTCTGGCTGCCTTTGTCACCAGCTGCACAACTTTGTCGTTAGGGATATTTGTAAACCGAACACGGGATCTTATGAACTTTGTAAGATCTAGGAAGGTGGGGAAGAGTAAACTTAACTATTCATACTAGGCCCGATTCAAAGACATGTTTACATTATTCACAATCAGACTACTTTAGCGACTGTGTTAAGTGCTGCAGAACGCAATATGTATCATGTGTCTATATGGTACAGATATTTATACCAATTAGCTCCAACTGAGGCTCTTTTGGTGACCAGAGACTGGCTCCTCCTAGGCGGAGCACCCAGAGATCCGTCGCCCATTCTTTTTTGTGGCATTTACTTTGGAGTAAGTGTGCTTAGTGTAAGCCCTGGGGAAAGAGGCTGTAAGCTGACAATCTATATATCTCTATCTATTCAGTTACAGAAGTGTGTATTTCCTCAAGAGCTTTGGTTTCCCTTCATTCCTTTAAAGAGTGGAGCTGTGCAGGCAGACTGCATCCATGTTTAGTTGGAAGAACGCCTTGCTACCTTATGCCAAGGTGAATGTAAGTAGGATTGCAACACGAAACAATCTCCCTAAATAAGTGGATTTCCGAACCTTAACTGATTCCCCAGGCGAAGAGGTCGTGATGGTTGAAGGCATGAATCGACCGGCATGGTCGCCTGAATGCCCTGAGCTACAACCAGGGAAAACTTTGTTGAAAGGAGCACTGTGTAAACACCGATGTTTAGCGAGGCCCGGCATCGGAAAAGACCTCTCCACCCATTAATTAGCCATGCGCTGCTGTTTAACCGAGAGGAACTAAATCGACCTTAACGCGCATTACATGCATGCGCACGTCTGAATCGGCTAATTGCCTCTTGCAAAGGCGGCGAATCGGCAACTTGCTTCTCCCGCGGCATTTCCAGGGCCCCCTTTCGGCGCGTCAAAACGCCGCGCGGCTCTCCTGCCCTTCAGCAGCCCCGGTTTGTTGTTGCAGCATCCAGCATTGTCCGCGCCTTGCTAGACGCCCAAATAATGCGTAATGTGGATTCCCCAACCACACACACACACTGGTTTCAGTTACGGCTTCTCTCCACTCATAATATCCGTCTCCCTCTCACGCACACACTGTGCTTGTAGTTCAAGGGAAGAACGAGGAAGGTGCTCCATCGCGGGGAGTTTCAAGGACTTCTATCAGCAGCGAGGCAAAAGGCGGGCGGAGGGAGGCCCATTGTCAAAGCCTGGGATCTTTCACATCAGCCTCTTCAATCTTACCCTGGAAAAGGGGGAGAGAGAGAAGCAGAGCCCAGGCCTCTGTTTTGCCAATACTTCACAAAGCACCTTCTTAATCAGAGTCCCATGGGGGTGCTCTTTCAAAGTTCAGCATTTCTTTCTTTCTTCTCCCCCGCCCTTTCCCTGTTCCCTCACCCAGAGCGCGCCTGCAGACACACACACAGTTATAAATATATCTACTATGTTGCACAGATTCTGCCACACTGTTCCTGCTTGGGCTCTGGTGCGTATGCATCTCGCAGGAGGCGGATAAGCTTCGTTTACAAGCCCATTTTAAGAGCGGTCTTCCCTCGCCGGGGTCTGCGCTACGAAAGTGGAGTCCGAGTAGAGCTAACAATGTGGCCAAGATGGTTCCTGACATGAATGGTTTCTACAAAAGGTGAGGGAGGGAAGGGCAGCCAGCTCTGTGGGAAAGGACTGGGCCTTTTCTGTCCCTCCAGAGACTTAAGGCCAGTGCTTCTTCTCCTGGGGGGAGACATACCCCTAAATATTTTGTGAATCTAAGTTTCGCCTCATTGAGTATTTCAATATGGGTAGGGAAATGAGAGTACCGCTAAACATTTTTTAAGGAAAAAAACACTTCCTAAACTGCAGCTCCCATAATCCCTGGGCATGCTGGCCAAGGGTTCCCCAACCTCCCCACCCCTGTTATCGGACCTCACTGTGCGGCTGAAGTCCAGGAATGAGGAACTTCAGACATGGGCGTGGCTAAGGGCGCAGGGGGGCAGCTGCCCCCCAATTCAATAAAAATCTATAAAAAATACTTAACTGAGGTTCTTTTTGCCACTAACAAAATCCTCCCCCCCCCAAAAAAAAAAAACCTGCCTCCGTCCATGACCTCAGGCACAGGACCGAATGCGGTCCTCCAAGCCTCTCAATCCGGCCTTCAAGGTGTTCCCCAAGCCACACCCTTCAGGGGCCTTGCTCCCCGCCTCTTTCGAGTACTTTTGCCTGGCTAGGGCGGGTGCTTCAGCTGCGATCTTGCTGTAGGATGGAGAGATCTGGGGGCGGAAGAATCCTCTGACTTTTGCCTGGCGCGTAGCTTGCTGTACAAAGGTTAAGAGTCACATCCGTTGCTCCATCTACTTTTTCTGCCTCTGGCCCCCACACACCGCTGGCGTGCGGCCCCCGGAAAACTGTCCCCGGAGGGGGCTCAGACTTCGGGCTGAGAAAGGTTCCCCGCCTCTGCTGCGGGCTGTCACGCGCCTCTTCTCTCTGGTATTCAGTTCAGAATGGCAATGCTGAAGCAAGCCAGAATTGATGGCCCCGGTATCAGCACTGCGCGTCCAGGAGGGTTAATCCAGGGAAAACCATCCTGGAGCGGTGGACTTTTCTTCCTTGGAGGAGGTTTTTAAGCGGAGATGGGATGGCCATCTGTCTTGGATGCTTTATCTGAGATTCCTGCACTGCAGCGGGTTGGACTAGATGACCCTCGGGGTCTCTTCCAACTCTACCATACTATAAAGTCACAAGCAAAGGATGAACTCGGGTTACGACCTCCCCTGATTTTGAGATTCCACATGTCGAGCTAGTGCGCTTTGCTCTACCTGTGCACCTGCCCTCGGTTCACTAGTTTGTTTGTTTTTTAAAGTCTCTTTTGGGGGAGGGGGGTGCCTATCAGTCAATTCTATTAGATCCGATCCCTCGATCTTGGTTTACATTTCTACTGCAAAGCGCCACCTTGCGTAGTCCACCAAATGCGTCGGTCTTGAGCGTTTGTCGAGAGATCTCTATCCTGCAGCTGTGCTATCCCCGCCGCAAAGTTAACATTTTGATTACAAAACTCTCCAGCTCCAAAAGGGTCGAGGAGCCTCGCCTAGTGAGAAACCTCCGAAGCAGGACAGAAAAGCACAGCTCGCCATTTCTTGAAACCTCCCAAGGATTTCAGGAAGCTGATCCAAAACAAGCACACTGGGGAGCGCATGCCGGGCCAATGAATGCTGCTTTTTTCTTTCTTTTCTTTTCTTTAAAAAAAAACCGCCTGACTTTTCTTACCTTGTATTTTTCAACCTTGCATCCTTAACACAACCAGCAGTTTCTAATGGAGAACATGTGCCTAGGCTTGTCATGTGGTTTTCCTTGGGTAGGCGATCTGATAGAAATCCCTTAGAAAAATCAAGACCCATCCCCTCTCCCTTCCCACCCACCCACCCCTGGGCTCCTGCCGGTATCTGTCACGCTAGGGTTGGTGATTGAAACGTCCAAGAGCGGCTGCTGCCCGCGGGAGAAAAGAGACAGACAACTGTGGATAATTTCGGGGTCGAGGAGGAGGAGGAGGAGGAAACATTTACGTCGGGCCTCCAGCTACGTTCAAGCCAGAAGGAGACGAGAACTTCTGCAACCCCGCCAGAGGCCAAGCAAGATCCTAGAGTGGCCAATCTTGCCAAGCGCCCTTAGTGGCTTGCAAAGGGGCCTCGTTTTTCCGAAGAAGCCGCTTTCCACTATCCCGCAATAGAGAGTTGTAGGCAATACTAGTCCTACTCAGACTAGACCTCTGGGGTTAATGGGCACGACTAACTTAGGTTCATTCATTTCAGTGGGTAGGACAGGCGGTGGCGGGTGAGCGGTGTGATCCAGTACTCGGAAGGAAACGTCGCTGGATTCGATGGCATTTACTGCCAGGAAAGTGGATATAGGACTGCACCTTAAAACGGGGTTAAAGGGTGAATGCATACGTTTAAAATTATTTGTCCCTTCGCCCTGGAAGGAACACTTCTCATGAACACAATGCGGATTCAGTTCTGCAGAATATTTTTTGTTCAGCATTGGCTTAAAATATCGTGTGTGTACAATGCGTTTCTCTGGGTAACTGTAGAAGAGGAATATTTTAGCAGAACAGTGGTTCTCAAACTTTTTTTTTTTCTGGGCCACACTTTCAGAATAAAACTTTGCTCGTGCCACACCGATTTTTTTTATTGGTAATAAATACATTGGAAAACAAAAAACACCGGCTGGCAGTACTTGCATTATAACATAGAACACAACTACTTTATAACACGTCCAGAAAGCATAAAACAATGCAGCTACATAAGAACATGAACCATTCCCAAAATATAATGCTGGTTGTCCTTGAATCTTCCAGCCAGACTTGCCATCCTATCTTGCCACACCAGTGTGGCGTCCTTTTGAGAACCACTGTGTATCAGGGGTGCCCAAACTTTTTTCAAAGAGGGCCAGATTTGATGAAGTGAACATGCGTGAGGGCCGACCAAAGTTGTTGAGCTTTTTTTAGGACTGAAGTTACTGAGCTTGGAGGGGGGGGGGATTTACTGCCACGGGGACCGGATTAAACCGACCGGCGGGCCGCATTAGGACTTTGGACATGCCTGGTGTAGATGAATAATATCTAATCGTGACTGTTCTGTGTTTTTTCTAAAGCTTTTCTTTTGCAAAATATGTCCCTTAAAAGGGTCAAAAGTAAGGAACTCCATTAGAAAGCTGGTGCGCTTATTTTACTCATTTGTTGGGACACTTGGAAAAGCAATGGAGAAACTCGAAACGCGTTGGGCCATTGCATCTTTATGGGGCATGTGATTTTTCTTTTCTTTTCTGCCCCCTCCCTGCCCACAACTGCAAAGCCAGCCGTATAGAAAAGGGATTCTCTGCCTTTTGTTTAGTGTTCACAAGTAAAACCTTCCTCCCCAATAGTCTAGGATTCCGCGTGCAGGTTTGCGAATTCCAAAGGCTGAGAGTACGTAGGTAGCAACACGGCTGCAGAGGAAGCGCAAAAAGCCAACGGTGAGTCGGTCCATTTCACACATTGAATTAAAGTGGCCTTCAAATATTCACATTAGAATAAACAGTAGAACCTCAGATTTAGGAGTTCTGTCTTTGGCGGGGAGGCATAGAACAGGGACACACATGTACCTCCCTTACCCTTATCCAAATTAGATTTCCAGGTTTATTGTTGTTTTAAACCATAAATCTATAGCTCACGGGAAAGTTGAGAGTTTAAACCTCGCCTAACTTCGTTTTGGTTTTTTCATTCGAAAAACTTTTTTTAAAAAAAATCTCTTCAATGCAATTCGAAAAATCAGAGTGGGACTCTGATTTAAACAGAGTTTGACACATTGAAGTCAGGGGCAAGCCCCGGTCTTCAGTATATTCATTAACCCCGATCCAGCTAAAGTTAGCCCTGCCGTGAAACCCGATGCTCTACATACTGAGACAGAACGCCCAGTGAGCTCAGTGGGAGCCGCTAGTAAGGGAGTGTGCATATAGTTGAATTAAACTGAAAGCTGTCTTGGAAGTTATGAGCTGGAAGAGCGGACACCTCATGTTTTAAATAAGTAAAATTGCAGCCCTGCAGCGCGATCCTAAGGACGTTTCTCAAAAGTAAATCTCATCATTAATACGCATGCGTAGGATTGCAGCCCGGCTCAATACTTTAAGATTGAGCCGGATCGGGGCCCATATGTTGAGGATGGGGGTTGAATCCAGTCAGCCGCAGCTTTAGCTACTTAGGGGGTCAAGTATGTTGCATTAAAATTAGTCTAATACCCCATTCCTTTTTAAAAAAATGAATTAAATCCTATTATTTCAGTGGTACTTGCTTCTGGCTAAGCGACCTACCTTTCAGGGGTGTTGTGAAGATTACTAAAATAATGGATAGGGATTGCTCAGGACACTCAAAACCCCTACCTGAATGGTGCGCCGTTGTGTTTACAAGCAAAATAGTATGTGGGCAAAGTGGAATAGTGATTACAATAGGCAACTTTGGTTGGGGAAAACCTGGGTTCCAATTCCCATTCACCCCTGAAGCTCACCAGGTGAAACTGGGCCAGCCACCATCTTCCAGCTTAGCCAACCCAATAGGGGTTTGGGAAGGATAGTGTGGTGAGGCGAACCAAGAAACGGGAATGCTGTCCTTGGAGGTCGAGATACATGGGACTTCGCTTCCAGGACGCTGAAAGGGATTGGGGCGAGGGGAGAGGCACAGAACAAAACTCCTGCGATGGCTCGGTGAAATCACCGTTGGTAGGCACCGTCGATGGGATCTCTCCAATATTATTAATAATAACAATAATAATTTATTATTTATATCCCGCTCATCTGGCTGGGCTTCCCCAGCCACTCCAAGACCAAGACGGCTGGTTCCAGCGCATCCAAAGGGAAGGCGATCTCTCTCTCTATATATATAATATACGAATATATAGCTATAGAGACTGAAAGGTCAATTTCTGGGCGGGAGGTCCAAACGTGCCTTCTCCGTTGGGATTAGGGGCTTGCGCCCGCGGCTGCAAACAAGAAACCACTGGCGCAGTAGAAGAGGAACCGGAACCTCGACGGTGAGCCTGGCGCTCAGTTTTGTTCCTTTCTCTTCCTTCGCTTTGCCGACCTACCTCATCGATCTTCTAGAACGAAGAGGATTGGACTTTGGCTCGCAGCACCTTATGTTCAAACGTAGCCCAGGCAAAGCCGTCCCCGCCCCCAGCAATGCCAGGACTTTTCTTCCAGCCTCCCCGTCGGGTCTCTCTCAACGCTGATTATCCCTTGCTGGGTCAAGTTACGCGGTGTTCATTCCTAAACAAACCTAAAGCAGCCACACACGCGTTTTGTTTTTTGGGTGAGTTTTGGAAAGCGCTTTCCCCCTAGCTCCCCCCGTCCTCCCTCCTCCTCCTCCGAGGATCCCTCTTTGAACAGATGATTTCTGAGCGAAACGCGGAGCTTTTTTGCGGGGGGGATGCGTCGCCTTCCTGCCCGGTCCCCCTCGCTCCGGTGGTCCTTTCGCGGCGCGCGGGAGTTTGCTACGGCAGGTCTGCAAAAGCCATTAAGGATCTGGCACAGGGGCACAGGCAAAGCAACGCAGACACCACTCACTTTTCTAAATAAACATTAGTCTTAAAAAGTTTGCACTATTGACCCCCTGCAGATCTGATTACTTGTAATTCTCTGAACCATATTTAAAGACGTGCAAGTCCCCAAACCCAACGCCGTCGGGCTGGAGGGCCAATCTAGACACCGAAAAGTCACTGCCCCTCTTTATGTGATCTCGGCCATCGCTGACTCTGGTGAGAACGGATCCCACAGTTTGGGGAGGCGCTGTGTGAGGATGGTCTTCCATTTGTCCAGAATCTTCCAACATTCAGCTTTGTAGAATGTCGCCAAGTTCTATTGTTATGAAAAGGGGGGGGGTGTATTTTCTCTATTCACTTTCGCCACACCAGGCGTCATTTTATGAACCTCTATCACGCCTTTTCGCTAAATGTGGCTCTAGCCCCTTGATCCTTTCGGTACCCCTTTTCTGCACCTTTTCCAGATGCCCAATAGCCTTTTGATCTTCAAACGCGCTGCTTTTTTCCAGTTTAAAGCTGGAAATTCAACTTACTACGAATTCTCTCTCGTCCCTTGGCAAAGCGGTACCAAAGCGCTTTAGGATCAGGATGGTGTTTTTGCTATAGTAGTTACCCCTTTTCTAAGCACTTCTCCCCTGACCAGTTTATGTGTATGGGAAGAGGGGGAATGTTGTCATAGTTACACGTTGTAGTTATTCACATTTGCCTTTCTTTAGACGCGAAAATTGTCCCCTTCCAGCTTCCGTATTTAAAAGGTCAAGGCCGCCGCCCTCTCAAACACGTTACTTTTATCTCGTACCCTTCACTGCCATGTGGAAGCTGTTATCCAGCGTAGTATTGGGCATAAAATATATTTAACGTGCAATCCTAACCCCACTTACCTGGGTGCTCTATTGAATTCAATGAGACTTACTTCTGAGTACAAATGACCATTGATTTCAGCACCACGTCCTACTGAAATGCTGCCTAAGATTGTAAAAGCGTTTCCTTTTTCCCCTTCCTCAAAACCTTCTTGGCTTAGGTCAAGATGGAAAGCAGAAGAGAAGAAGAGCAGCTAGTTCTTGGAGCCCGAAGAACCCTAACATACAAAGTGAGGCTTAATTCTTTGAAACAATGTTTGCATTTTCGTAGACAGGCAGTCACAAAGGTACTCTCCTGCGAACATTGCCTCGATTAACAGACACCCACGAACGAGATCCTCGCTTACCCTTGCGGTTGCCATTAACCGACAGCTTATTCTGATTTACTCTTTTAATGCTCACCCCGAGCGGGCTAGACTGGTACCTGTCTCTTGCACA